AGCAGGTCATAAATTCCCCAGCTTTAATCCTTGGGAGGAAGAAAGACTGGATAAGCAGCATAATGCTGCCCATTTCTTACTGCAGCAGTTCGCTGGGTGTGCATTGTGTGTGTTGCATCAAAAAGCAAATTGGAGCTCAAATGCTGGCCAAAAACTTGCTGTGAAGAGCTTATGTTCAGCTGAGAAGACATGGGGGTGGAAAGTGTGTACATGTGTGGGAGCAATTCCACCCATAGACATTTCCTCTGCTATAATAAGGTTTGTATTCTCTCCAAAGCTCTACAAAAGGTTTAATCTACCAGGAACTCCACCAGAATCTATGGGGCGAGGAAGAGACTGGAACGTGGACCTCATTCCCAAATTCCTTATGGCTAATGGTAAGTGATACTGAGCTTCCAAATCTGCTTCCCAGGCTTAAGCCTGGGTTAGTGTTCAGTGCTGCAACCAAAGAAACAACCCTTCAGCCATCTCTCCATGAACTTCTTGAAGCATTCATCATGTGGAAAGCTCACTTGAGCTCATCTGCATGCCTAGAAGCACCAAAGCTTCTGCTCTGGGATTCCTTTTGGCTGTTGACCTTTCCAACTGGGAAGACGGCTCCAGCTTGGAGTGTGCAGCAGTCTGGAAGGTTTGAATGTTTCCCAACATTCCCTCTTAACGTGTTTGTATTTTTAACCAGTTAAAGACATGAATCTCATTATTATTCTGTGGCTTAGGAAGAAACAGTTGATTCCGTGGTGACTGTTCTTCCCTTTGTTCCCATTTTATGGCTTGCAGGGATGATGCTACAAATCCTCATTCTGTGATATGTGTGTTCCAGTGGTGGAACAGGTCTTCTAGACCAAACCCACTTTGGGTTATCAATGCCAGCAAGCTCAGGGCAACTCCCTTTGCCCAATTCCAACCACTTGCTACTAGAATCCCTTGTCCCTCATGGAAAGGGGATAGGTGTATTGTGTAGTGCCAGTCTTGCTGGAAGACTTGGCAGGTTCCAGTCAAGGTTTGGTTACTCTCAGCTTACTTTCAGGTTGCACAGGCATTGTAGTGCATTTAATTCAGATGAGCTCTTAGGCAGAAGCTCTTCCCTGTGAGGGTGCTGAGGCGCTGGCACAGGGTGCCCAGAGAAGCTGTGGCTGCCCCATCCCTGGCAGTGTTCAAGGCCAGGTTGGACACAGGGGCTTGGAGCAACCTGCTCTAGTGGAAGGTGTCCCTGCCCGGGGCAGGGGTTGGAGCTGGAGGAGCTTTAGGGTCTCTTCCAACACAAACCATTCTGTAAGGGACAGCTTCCCTCCGGGGATGTGGGGATGGGTGGGGGGGCCGATGTTGCCACTTGCTGTGTGTAAGCCAGGGGCTAATTGGTGGTAAGTTGGCTGGATGTGTTGTGCTAGATCTGGATGTTGAGGATAAGGAGCTGCTGTGGTCCAGAGACACGACCTTGTTTGATGTGTTGAGTGTGAATGAACTGCAAAGAGCAGCAGTGTACTGCAGCAGATAAATGTGCTGCAGAGGGTGGCTTTTACTCAGCGGACAGATGGAAACCACAGGAGTGACAAGGAAGCTGTTAATTGTCTGTAAGAAAACCTTAAAACTGCCTCAGAATGCACTAGTGAGTACCTACCACAATGTGTATGTTACACAAAGGTGTAAGGGCTGTGTGGGTTGAATCTGGTGCTGCCATTGAAGGGTTTGTTGTGTTGGAAGAACTGTCTGCCTTATGAGAAGCACTGTCCTCTTGGCTTCTGGCTGCAGACCAGCAGGTTGACATGTGCCAAACCTCCTTTCCAGGTCAGTTGGTAAAGATGCTGCTCTACACAGAAGTTACTCGCTACTTGGACTTCAAGGTGATCGAGGGGAGCTTCGTTTACAAGGGAGGCAAGATCTACAAAGTCCCTTCCACTGAGGCAGAAGCCTTGGCATCCAGTGAGTAGCTGCACCTTACTCTGCTTCCTCCTGAAGCTGCTGTCTCTAAACAAAGGCAAGACAGGTCTCTGCCACCCACAGCTCAGCACAGTCTGTGCTCACGTAGGAAAGAGCTTGATGCTCCTCACGTGGTGCTGTGTGTAGACTCCATGTGAGTAACAAGCTGTGCTTAGCTTAGGATTCTCCTGCATCTCATTTGACTTCAACCATCACCTGCAGTGTGAGTTTTAGGCTTCCTGAGCTTTGAGTTACTGTTTTCTTGGAGCTTTCAAATGGAGCTGGTCAGGCTGCCTACTCTATGGCTTATCCAGTGGGAATTTGGCAGTGTTTTACTTCCTCAGGAGATCACATCTGGGGCTTATGCCCCCAGCTCTGCCATAAGTTTCTAATGTTAGATGGAATTGTGTGTGTGAGAAATGTTTGTCAGGGGGCACATTGGGGTGACCAATTCTGATGTGTGGCACTGAGCTCAAATCTGAATTGCTACCTACTTAAATTTTACTCCTCAGATAAAACTACTGATGGTAGTAGTGCAGAGAAGTGCCAAAGAAACAGGCTGAGAACACTGAGGCTCTTCAGCCTGGAGAAGAGAAGCTGCGTGGAGAACTCAGCAGCTTCCAGTGTGTGAAGGGGCTACAGGGATGCTGGGGAAGGACCTTCATCAGGGACTATAATGATAGGACAAGGGGTGATGGGTTCAAAGTGAAACAGGGGAAGTTCAGGTTGGAGATAAGGCAGAAGCTGTTCCCTGTGAGGGTGCTGAGGCGCTGGCACAGGGTGCCCAGAGGAGCTGTGGCTGGCCCATCCCCGGCAGGGGTCAAAGGCAGGTTGGACACAGGGGCTTGGGGCAACCGCACCCTGCTCTAGGGGAAGGTGTCCCTGCCCATGGCAGGGGGTGGAACTGGAGGAGCTTTAAGGTCCCTTCCAACCCAAACCAGGCTGGGGTTCTATGAAGTACATCAGGAGCTAGCAGAGGGCAGTTCATCAGCTTCAGATACAGGATGTATTCAGCAGCATCTGAAAAGTCTCATGATAAAGTGACTCCTGCACATAAGGCTTCCTGGATGTTGCTTTTCTGTAGTTTGGAGCCTTCCTCATGGCAGATATTCCTGTTTGTTGTGAAGTAATAGGTCATTCCTTCAGTTTGCCCACTTTGCTGTCTCCTAAGTGGTCTCAGAGACTTGTACTGGCACAAGTAGTAGGTGCCTTTGGTGCTGTCTTTGCCATCATGTTTCAGCAAATCCAGTCTTACTTCTCCAGCTGGTAGAAAACTAATGGTGCCTTGTCCAGTCTTCTGTTTGAAGTTCTGAGCCTTGCAGCACTTGCTAGTTCCTTGGCCAGGAGAGCTTTTATCACCACACTTTGCTGATGCTAAGTCTGGTAGATACCAAACATGGGTCTCTCTTTATGAAAAGGCCAAGTGGAAACTGCTCTCCAGGCTTTCTGTCAGCTGGAAGTAGTGTAGAAGCCTGTCCTTTAGCCATTCCTTGAGTGGAGTTGGCTGTACCACCTCCTAAGGTCCAGTACTCCAGGACAACTGGTTGTAAGGACTTCGCATGGCAGATGGTGGGGTCTCCTGCTTGAACAGAGCGCCTTGCTTAGCCCTCAAGGCCAAACTCCACGTTCCCAAGCGCTGTTTGAAACACTCAGGACTCCTCACTGCTGCTGATGCCTGTAGTGATGGAAAACTATTAGTAACTATGTGAGTTCTCACAGAATTCCTTGGGTTTAGGCTTAATGGGCTTGTTTGAGAAGCGCCGGTTCAGGAAGTTCCTCGTGTATGTGGCCAACTTCGACGAGAACGATCCCCGAACCTTCGAGGGCGTCGATCCCAAGAAGACCACGATGCGTGATGTGTACAAGAAGTTTGACCTGGGGCAGGATGTCATAGACTTCACAGGCCATGCCCTTGCACTCTACAGGACTGACGAGTAAGTGTGGGCTTCCTTAGGGCCTGGAGGGACAGGACAAGGGGAATGGCTTGAACCTGCCAGAGAGGGGATTGAGATGAGCTCTTGGGCAGAAGCTCTTCCCTGTGAGGGTGCTGAGGCGCTGGCACAGGGTGCCCAGAGAAGCTGTGGCTGCCCCATCCCTGGCAGTGTTCAAGGCCAGGTTGGACACAGGGGCTTGGAGCAACCTGCTCTAGTGGAAGGTGTCCCTGCCCGGGGCAGGGGTTGGAGCCGGAGGAGCTTTAAGCTCCCTTCCAACCCAAATCATTCCATGATTCAGTTGCTCCACCATATCAGCCAGGATGCTGGGCTTTGGGAGCCAGGGGTAGGGTGTCTCCGAAGTGTGTCTGTCCATGGGTGCTGCATTAATCATACTGGCTCCTCTGCTGATGGGATGTTTAAACTTTGTGGGTTCCTGGGGCCAATGAAGCTTCTCCTTCCTGAATGAACCCGCTTGTGACACTGAGTGCTTGTAAAAGGGAACTTCCAGGAAAATACTGGAGCAGCTGGAGGGTGGGGAAGGAAACTTAATGAGAAATGAATGTTTTTCTGCTCTCTGAGCATATTCTGCTGCAAGTCTTAGTTTGTGAAACGTTGTGAATTACATAACTGCTCTCTCCAGCTATCTAGATCAACCATGCCAAGAAACAATCAACAGGATTAAGCTCTACAGTGAGTCCCTGGCTAGATACGGTAAAAGCCCGTACCTTTATCCCCTCTATGGCCTTGGAGAGCTGCCCCAGGGATTTGCCAGGTGAGAACTCGGGTTTGGACTCCACCATTTCCTCAAACTGGCATGTGTGGAGTTGGTACTCAAGCTTCCAAACGTGCTGCCACGTAAAAATACTGTGGTCATCTGTGATTGTCTTAAGAAGTGGTTCCTGCATGTGAGATTGCTTCTTTCTGGGCTTGTTTACTGTGATTCCTGTTAGTGGTGGTAGTTCTGGGGCACCCAACACAAGAGGGATGTGGAGGTGCTGGAGCGAGGCCAGAGGAGGCCCCGGAGCTGCTGCGAGGGCTGGAGCAGCTCTGCTCTGGAGCCAGGCTGAGAGAGCTGGGCTGGGGCAGCTGGAGAAGAGAAGGCTCCTCAAGGGGACACCTTAGAGCAGCTCCAGTGCCTAAAGGGGCTCCAGGAGACCTGGAGAGGGGCTTTGGACAAGGGATGTAGGGACAGGACAAGGGGAATGGCTTGAACCTGCCAGAGGGGAGATTGAGATGAGCTCTTGGGCAGAAGCTGTTCCCTGTGAGGGTGCTGAGGCGCTGGCACAGGGTGCCCAGAGAAGCTGTGGCATTCTTTGATTCTGGGTTTGCCCAGAGCTGCTGTTTGCAGCATCTTGTCTATCCAAGAAGTCGATTTGCTGACGTGGTGCAAGCTGCAGCTCTTACGCTGAAGGACCATCTGGGTTGCACCACAGAGCATCCTTCTAGCTGGATATAATTGCAGCTGATGCCCTGCAGAAAGAGCAGCACACGACATCTGCTGTGTAGATGTTTAAGCATCATATTTTGAAGAGGTTTTAAGTCTAATGTGAGGTTTATCCAAATGGAAGAGAAACAAGGGGCTGAAGGGCTGTTACAACCCAATCACACCCCTGTGGGACATGCTGACGTGGTTTTCCTCCTGCAGGCTAAGCGCTATTTATGGAGGCACCTACATGCTGAACAAGCCCATCGAAGAGATTGTGATAGAGAATGGCAAAGTGGTCGGGGTGAAGTCTGAAGGGGAGGTATGGAACCTTCAGTTCTTTCCTTACTTCCCTATCTTCCCTCTCAGAATTGAGGCTGTCCATCAATGCAGTAGAAAACCCATTCTCAGAGCTCCAGGACCAGCTTGGCAGGTGCTGGTTTTCCCTGTGCCAACTCCCTTTAGAAATGTTGGTATTTGCATGGTGAAGACAGTACAGTAGTCCTGCTCCAGGAGCTGGAATGAAGTCTCCATGGCCTGGCAAAGGTTGTCTTCTGAATAAATCAGGCTGGAAAGGAGCTGTTGCTTGTGTCTGACGTGGGTTTGGAATCAGCTCTGCCCTTGACATTAAGTCTTAGCTGGCACACAGCCTCTCTGCAGCTTCTCCTCGACCTGGCAATATAAAACTAGTGCTTGGGAGCTATAAATGTGCTCCCAGTTAGAGTGGGGCACTTGGCAGGACAGTTTAGCACTTGCTGGTAGGGTAACATGTCCCCTCTGGGTAGGGGATGATGTGTTGTGGCTAATAAGTGGTGATAATCCACAGTATAGATTGATGTGCCCAAGTGCAGGTGACCTGGAGGCTTCAAATAGGTCAAATATGAAAGCTATTACTGTAAAAGTGAGTTCTAATGTGAACTGGTCAATTCTTACCTGTTGGCCTCAGCCCTGACCACAGCAGGTTATGGTTCTAGACTGGATGAACTGAACTACTTCAGTGGCCCAGAGAAGCTGTGGCTGCCCCATTCCTGGCAGTGTTCAAGGCCAGGTTGGACACAGGGGCTTGGAGCAACCTGCTCTAGTGGAAGGTGTCCCTGCCCGGGGCAGGGGTTGGAGTTGGAGGAGCTTTAAGGTCCCTTCCAACCCAAACCACTCTCTGACTCTGTAGCAGTTAGAACTTAACGGTGCACTGCCTGATGAAGGGAAGACGAGATTGATCACATTAAGATTAATGAGCTAAGATTTGGATTGTCTGAGTTGAAGCATGCTGCTGGCAGTGAAATAAGGACCTGATACAGGAACAGCCACCTCAAAGCCCTCTTGGTATTCCCCAAACCCAGCAGTTCCTCACCTCTGCGTGCACTGCTCGATGCAGTGGTGGCTCAAGGCCCGTGTGTCCCTGCAGGTTGCTCGCTGCAAACAGCTCATCTGTGACCCCAGCTACGTCTCGGACCGCGTCACGAAGGTGGGCCAAGTGATCCGGGTAATCTGCATCCTGAGCCACCCCATCAAGAACACGAACGATGCCAACTCCTGCCAGATCATCATTCCACAGAACCAGGTCAACCGGAAATCAGGTGAGTGGGGAGCGGGGAACATCGGGGCATGTGCAGCTTTGGTCCTGCTTGGGTTGAGCCAGAGCAGTGGTTATGTATCCTCACACCAAACGTGTTCCGATGGCATGGGGAGGTGTGAGTCCAACGGGAAAACACATTTACTGCTGCTCCCATGGGAGCAGTAAATGCTGTAGGTCCCAGTGAGGCTGTGCTATGGTTTAGTTTAGGTGGGAGAAGCTGGGGAGCATTTACCACTTCTTCGGGCACTGGCACAGGGTGCCCAGAGAAGCTGTGGCTGCCCCATCCCTGGCAGTGTTCAAGGCCAGGTTGGACACAGGGGCTTGGAGCAACCTGCTCTAGTGGAAGGTGTCCCTGCCCGGGGCAGGGGTTGGAGCTGGAGGAGCTTTAAGGTCCCTTCCAACACAAACCAGGCTGGGATTCTGCTTTTGGAAAGCTGTATGGGGAACCCATGGAAGGAAGTGCCCCAACCCCAGGGGAAGTGCGTGAGGGGCACGAGGGTGCCCTGGGAAGAGGGGGATGAGGAGGAGAAATGCTTCTTGCCCTTGGGCAGTGGGTGTCTGGCTGCTGGGGGAGACCCTGGTGGCTTTCAGGAGCTGGGAAACTGAGTTTTGGAGATCTGAGGGCTGCTTGTGTCCAGGCCAGAGCACATAGGACTGCAGGGCAAGGATGGAGGTCTTAAATGAGACATGGAGGTACTAAGTGTCGGGGGAGCAGGAAGATAAGTGTGAGTACAAGCTGGAGGAGGCTTTTGGGGATGTGGCAGCAGGGTTGGAACCCTAACCTGAGCTGTTGGCTTCCCTGACACATGCCAACCTGTCCTTGTGGTGGGTTCCCCAGATATCTACGTCTGCATGATCTCCTCTGCACACAACGTGGCGGCGCAGGGGAAGTACATCGCCATCGCCAGCACCACTGTGGAAACCGCGGACCCAGAGAAGGAAATCAAGCCGGCCTTGGACCTCTTGGAGCCCATTGAGCAGAAGTAAGGCCCTGAGCAGCCCCTGCTCTCCCTTCTCACCCTCTGCTGCCATGAGGCATGGAGGTGGAGGGGACTGGAAGGCCATTTGCCTGTGAGAAGGTGTTGAAACTCTGAATTCCCTCTGCACCTTCACCACTTACACACTGGGCAGAGCAACGCCCTTGAATTCATCCAGCCTTGCACCCACAGTGATGCTCAGTGATGCTCTAGAACCATTCTGAATCTCTTTCTCCTCCTTCCAGGTTTGTCAGCATCAGTGACCTGTTTGCACCGACCGACTTGGGAACCGAAAGCCAGGTGAGTAAGGTGCTGGTTGGAGAGAGCCTGCTCTAGTGTGAGGTGTCCCTGCCCATGGCAGGGGGTTGGAACTGGGTGATCTTAAGGTCCTTTCCACCCCAAACCATTCTACAAGCTCGTGTTTGAGGTGGGGAGGTTGGAGATACACACTTAAAGTGCTGCTTCTCTTGCCAGATCTTCATCTCTCGCACCTACGACGCCACCACTCACTTCGAGACGACGTGCGACGACATCAAAGATATTTATAAGAGGATGATGGGATCAGAGTTTGATTTTGAAGAGATGAAACGTAAGAAGAACGATATCTACGGGGAGGAGGAGCAGCAGTAATGAGGATCCCTGCAGGAGGAGAAGTTCAGACCGGCTCATCTGAATATATAAGGAACTTAATGAACACTGTACGAAACTCAATATTGTAAGGCCTGCTTTTGTAATCCCATCTCTGAGAGATTGAAGAGTACTGCACTGGTAATGTTCCCCTTTTTTGGATATCATGTGTTAATTATTTCATTCTAGTAGGGCTGCTGTCCAGAATCTGGCAAATTACTGACTGATTTAATGACTAACCTGGGTAAGCAAAGGCAAACTGAACCTTGGGTTTGGTGGGTTTCTCTTTGCAGATGTAGATGTTGGTGCAGATTGGAGATAACTCATTGACAGCTGTGTCTTACCATGTCTTTTTAATCATTCGTAGCCATCCTTCACAATTATGTGCTTCTGGTGAGCTAGTAGATGTGACAGTTGTCACTCAAACCTGATTATCAAGGAAAATAGAAACTGAGCACTCCATCATTGTGGACAGCATCCCTAAAAAAGTCTTTCTCCCATCGATCTAACTCTGTGGCAAGTTGTATTATGGACAAAGCCCACATCTATTGTAGCAGCAAATGTTGGCTTAGTTCTGGGCACAGAACTTAACCCTCCACTTCAAGCTTCTAAAACTGTTTACATCGGTTGGGACACAGCTGTGCCTAAGGCTCCTTTGTGTTTTAATCTTAATAAAATTGAGAGAACAAATGACAGAGCAGGCAAGATGTGGGAGTATTTTCTGTAGCCTGGGGGCTTCTGGGCTGGACCAAACGGCGCTGCGGTATCGGTATGACAGAGCCTCTGCTCCTCGGGGCTCCTGAAGGCTCCAAATGATTTCTGTACTGCCAAGTAAAGCCAAATTCTGGAAACCAGTCCTGGCCTCTGGTCTGATTCACTTGTACGAGCAGCAGCTCCTTTCGGAGATCCCTTTGGATCTCTCCACCTGCCAGGGTTGAAATGGGAGCAATGTGTGGAGTGGTTCCTACTGGAAACCAGGCCCAGGCTTCCTCAGTTGGGCTGCTTCAGAGGCTGCTTCTGCAGCACGAGGCCCGTTGCTGAGTCTCAAGCTGAGTTGATGCAACTCTGCCTCCTCCCTACAGCCCCCTCCAGTGCCAGCATCCAGAAATGGCACTTGCTTGAAGCAGTAATAGACAATTCTTGCTCTTACGGATCTTCTACAGGGCATCGAGATCTCTCTGACCCCTCTTAGGGTGAGCCTTAGTGAGCCCCTTGCTGGGATCTTGACCCAATTCTGCTGGTGGGCAGCAGGGGTACAAGGAGGAGCCAGGCTCCTTCATCCTCAGCCAGGCCAAGTGCCAGGAATAAAAAGATACCTTGGAAGGGCCTTCTCCTGCTCTTCATGGCCATGCTTGGCCAGGTAGGGTCACTGGTGATGGGTTCATCCTTCCCTGCAGCTGTAGCTACACTGTTCTTGGAACTGACGAAGAGGAACTGGGTCTCCACCACATCTCCTTCACAGAGCAGTGCTAAACCTGACTGTGGCTGCCCCTTCCCTCCCACCAAGGGGTTCAGGGGCTTTCAGCACTTCCCTTTCCTGGTACCAGTTCCAGGAACCACCTTTCCCTGCCAGAGTGACATGTGTTGTGGTGGCTGGGGAAGTTCTTCCTCACCTTGTGCTTCCTCTTCAGTGCTTGATGGCAACACACTGAGTCTTTCCAAAGCAAAACATGGACAATGAGCTCCTTCCTCTAAACACTTCCATAACCTCTCTTTGTTGTATCCCAGTTATTCCTCTGCCTCTTGGTCCACACCTCCTCCTGGGAAGGACAGTGCTGATCCTGCAGCCCCAAATCTCCATGAACCCACCACTCCTTGGCTCCAGCAGTCTTCCTCCTTCTTTCCTTCCTGCGTTGGCTTCCCTGTGAGTGTTCCCACTGTGATCCAGGTCCTCCTCCCTGCAGCTGGGAGAGGCTGGGAGCTAAGGAGCCCCTCTCCAGGGAACAGTGGTGGCTGAAACGTCAGGTTTGGGGTTTATTACTCAACCTTTATGCATAAACTCATCCTGTACATAATGTTCTTGCATTCATTTATTAGAAACAAAAGAGGACACCCCTGTCCTCCACATCCCCCCCCACCCCCCAGGGTTGTGAATCTTACAAAGGTCTTTAATGTGACATCTTCTTCCTGGGGTGGGTCTGAGCTACCATAAATAAGAGGTTTGTTCCCACATCCTGGTGTCTGGCTATTTACAAGACTTCCACATACTGGAAATGGTACCAAGAGACAACAGGGACTTGAACTGGAGTGTGGAGCAGATACCTGCACACCCACCTGAAACCCACCCCAGTTCCTAACGTGGTTTACAGCATCTACAGCAACAACCGTGTGGAAATGCATTTATTATTGAGGACTTGAATTCTGACCTTCAAGTAAACAGCTTTTTGTTTCTTTTACTCCTTTTCCTATTTCTGCCCGTCAGCTGCACGAAACACTTGAGAACACTCCAATAACTTAACCCTGGATAACAGTAAAGTAACCTCTGGCCTACAGGCAACGTCATGAACACGGAGTAAACCCCTGGGAGGATTTGCATGAGCCACCTTTAAATAATTCCTATATACAGAACTGGAGCCAAACCTTCCTGCCACCTCCCTGGGCACAGCTCCTGGGGGCAGCACCCGAAACCTGCTGCGATGGTGGTGTCCCGCAGAGGACCAGGGTGCTCAAACGGGCACCGTACCGTGGCTTCACTTCATCACCTGCAACAGGAAACATGGGACAGGTTATTCCTCTGCTCCTCTCCTTGCTCCAGGTAGTGGCAACCTCTTGCAGGGCTTCCAGGGAGCTGTTCCCAGCCCTCTGGGGGAGTTCTGGGCCCCTCACTGCAAGAGAGACCTTGAGGTGCTGGAGCGGGGCCAGAGAAGGGCACCGGAGCTGGAGCAGGGCCTGGAGCACAAGTGTGATGGGGAAGGGCTGAGGGACCTGGGGGTTTAGTGTGGAGAAGAGAAGGCTCAGGGGGGACCTGATCGCTCTCTGCAACTGCCTGACAGGAGGATGGAGCCAGGAGGGGGCTGGTCTCTGCTCCCAAGGAACAAGGGATGGCACAAGAGGAACCGGCCTCAAGCTGCCCCAGGGCAGGTTTAGCTGGAGCTGAGGAACAATTCCTTGCCCAGAGGGTGCTCAGGCATTGGAACAGGCTGCCCAGGGCAGGGCTGGAGTCACCGTCCCTGCAAGTGTTCCCAGCCCGTGGAGCCGAGGCCTCAGTGCCAGGGGTCAGTGGTGGCCTTGGCAGGGCTGGGAATGGTTGGGCTGGATGAGCTTAAAGGTCTTTTCCAACCTGGCTGATTCTGTGATTCTAAGGGGTTGATCCCAAGCCCTCTCCTTACCAGTAGCTTCTTCTAAACGGAGCAGCCGCTTTCTGCACCTTCCCAAGGAAAGTGTTGACATCAGCCACGAGGATTCCTTTGCTTTCAAGGACCTCCCTGCTGACATCGGGTGTTTCTGCAAAGGAAGGAGCGATGCTGTGATTCAAACAAGCAACTGAGGTTGTTCTATAACAACCTGTGCTCCCTGTGAGGGTGCTGAGGCGCTGGCACAGGGTGCCCAGAGAAGCTGTGGCTGCCCCATCCCTGGCAGTGTTCAAGGCCAGGTTGGACACAGGGGCTTGGAGCAACCAGCTCTAGTTGAAGGTGTCCCTGCCCGGGGCAGGGGTTGGAGCTGGAGGAGCTTTAAGGTCCTTTCCAGCCCAAACCAGGCTGGGGTTCTATGAATTTAGCAGACTTCCAAACCAGATCTGTTCCTTTTGCCTTTTAATGTACTCACTTGCACTAACCCAGCTCACACCTCACATAAGTGACTCCAGCTGAAATGGGAGGCAAATGGGTGGATTTTATCCCTAACTCCATCCCTTTCCCAACCAATTTAACCCGGTGCTCCTGGTGTTGAGGGCACCAGCCCCCAGCGCTCTCCTTACCTGTGAGGTACACAGCGAACCTGGCGCTGATGTGTTGAACCTGCAGGTTCAACAAGCACTTGATGTGCTCAGAGCTGGGGGATGACACCGAGTCACACGTGTGGTAGTGCAGCACCTCCATGAGATCTGCTCCTTGGCACGCTCTGAGGATCAAATGCTTCTTGTGGGCATTGGGGTCCACTCTGCTGGGAGAAGGGACAATGAGCCGGAATGATGGGACCTTCCCTCCCTTCCTACCACGTGTGGTCCTTCAGCATCATGGGTGCTTTTAGACTTGAGTCTCTGCGCTAATGGAGATGCCAGGAGCAGTGTCACCATGTGGACCACACGTCTGGCTGGGAAACAAGATGATGCCACCCCCAAGATGATGCTGGGGAGGGACTCTTCATCAGGGACTGTAGCAATAGGACATGGGGTGATGGGTTCAGACCGAAACAGGGGGAGTTCAGGTTGGATATAAGGGAGGAGCGAACTGGGGTTAAACCAAACAGGATGGGGTTAAACCACGACACGGGGCTCATGACCCCACCACAATGGAGTCAAGTGCTGCTGCCTGAGGGCCAGTGGTGCAGGGCAAGGAGAACACTGCTCGAGGGCTGAAACCCACATTGCCCTGTGCTGCCACCATAAAGGCTGAGTGTGGAGAGGACCCGAGAGTTCTCCGTGTTTGTTGTAGCATCTTCTGCTCACAGAACAGCGCAGTTTCCTCTTTGGTTGCAGGTTGTTCCTAGAAAACCATCCCCTCTGCCTAACAAAGGGACCTGCCTGATAAAAACCTCCCTGAGTTCAAACCTGATAAAAGCAGGACATTCCAATGGATATTATTTGTTGTCTTACTTCTCCTTTTCAAATGGCATCATTTAAATACACACTGTTGTAAGTAACCTAAAATAAGGTGTAAATAGCAACAGAAGTTCTACTTTTCTCAGCAGGGTTTGATTTTACTCACTTCCCACCACACCCTGGTTCTTCTCATCACAATCAGAGCTCCTCATCATTCTCCCAAATCCCACATGTAATGGGATAGAAGGGACAGCAAAGAGACACTGGGGCAGAGAGAGGTCCCCTGAGCTCCGGTGTGGGTGTGCAGGAGCTGGGATGAGCTGGAGGGATGGGAGCTGTTTGCAGAGGTGGCGTTTGGAGTGTGCAGCTCCTCATATGAAATCTGTGCCTCTCCTCAAGCCCTTTGCAGACCATAATGCTCACAGAGGGTGTCTCTGCCAAAGAGAGAGGGAACTGCCTTATGGAGGCCCAGCAGGGTGCAAGAAGCTGCTGCCAGAGCTTTGCCTCATCCCGGATCATGTGCAAGACACGATGCTTCAGGCCATCTGATCCCCGCCAGGCCCCATGTCCTGCTGCTCCATCTCATCCAGGTATAAAACAACCCGTCACAGTCCCCAGCACTGAGATGCTGACCTCCAGCAATTCCAGACTTGAGGCACGTGTCTCCCACTGATCAGAAAAGTTCTTCTTCAAATACATCTTCTAAGAGGTCAAAACCCACCCAGAGGCACCAAACTCACCCTGTGCCCCTGCTCTGAGGTACTGAAGGGGGCAGCACAGTGGGCGCATCCTGGCTGTGGTGACAAGGACAGGAGGGATGAGGGATGAGCCATTACCTGATGTCTTCTCTGAGCTTCTTGCTCTCCTTGTAATGAAGGAGCCACTTCCACCTCCCACTTCTGTTCAGCATCTCCAGCACGTCCACCACCTCCTTCAGTTGGCCTGGAGGAGACAGCAGGAGCTGGAGGGTAACTGAGGGGGCAAAGGGGTCTCTGGCCCAACCCTGCTCAAAGCTGGGCCACATGAGGTTGTTCTAGGTGAGGTCTGAAGGTCTCCAAGGATGGAGACTCACAACCTGGCTTGTGACACTGGGATCCTGTCCTGGTGTTTGAACACGCTCACTGTGAATTTCTCCCCCCTTAGTATCTAAAGGGATCAGTGCAACTTGTCCCTGTCACCTCTTGTCCCATCCTTCTTCATCTCCAGGAGGAATGTGGCTCTGCTGTCTCTACCACTTCCCATTAGGGAGCTGAAGACAGCAACAAGGTCTCCCCATTGTCCTCCGTTCTCCAGGCTGTCCTTCTACAACCTGCTCCAGCCTCTGATCATCTTGGTGGTACCCAATGTACTTCAGATGTTTTGGGGAGCCCTGGCCTGGACCCACTGTCCACATGGGGTCTACAAATGTCAAACAGAGGGAATGAATTGCCTCCACTTAAAGCAGGAGCAGAGGACACCCGTGGGGAGTGTTTGGAGGTATCAGCACACAAGTCCAGGAGCTGACACTGTGTTTGCATCCAAGTGAGAGGCTGAATGAAGACTCACCCAGTGTCACCGTTTCCAACAAGCCCTCATCTGACACCACGAAACCACCAGAATGGAGCAGCTCCTGGTACGTGTGACCTGGTACATCTTCAGGGCTGTCCACCCCAGCAAACACCACGTTGGGACAGTGCTTCAGCTGCAGCAAGCACGGGACCTGCTCGAGGAAGAGATGCTTTTGAGCATGAAGCTGCGTTTCAATTGCACTTGCACTTCTCTAAGTCACACTCACTCCAGGGAGCCCATCCTGTCCTGTGGCTGCATCACCCCAACACTCCTGTCTCCATACTCCAATCCCAGAGCCGTGGATGGTGATGGATGAGGGTGCTGAGGCGCTGGCACAGGGTGCCCAGAGAAGCTGTGGCTGCCCCATCCCTGGCAGTGTTCAAGGCCAGGTTGGACACAGGGGCTTGGAGCAACCTGCTCTAGTGGAAGGTGTCCCTGCTCGTGGCAGGGGTTGGAGCTGGAGGGGATTTAAGGTCCCTTCCAACACAAATCACTCTGGGGTTCCGGGATTCCATGGAGAGAACAGAGTATCTGCAGAGTCTGATGTTTAAATCTGCAGCTCTAAAGAGCATGAAATCAAACTAAACCCCTTTCAAACAGATCCTGACAGTAAAACCCAGTGTGGGTACGATAAGAACAGGTGAGACTGAGGCCTTACGCTGTGGATGTGTGAGGAGATGTCCTTGTTCCTGATGACCACGAGCAGCCTGTCAGTGTCCAGGCACTTCGCTTGGCAGAAGCTCAGGGGCTCGGTCTCCACGTGTCCTCCTTTCCTCAGCAAGGTCTGGAACAGGAACCAGGTTTGTGTGGAGAACACCTTCACAACAGCACTGGTGTGCTGCCAGCACACACGTGCCTGGGGACACGAGCAGCACAGGGACCCCAACCAGGCACCCTGCGGTGTCCATCGGTCACACGCACTGGGTGCTCCAGGCCAGGGCTCCAGCCAGAGGTGGAGGAAGCAGCGCCAGCGCGGCCCCCAGCGAAGGGGTGGAGGAAGCAGCCACTGACCTTTGTCAGCTAAAACTTGCTAAAGAAACACCTCGAGCATCTCACTGTGCCCTCACCAGGCCTCTGTGCTGATTCAGAGCAGCAAATCCTCCCATGCAATCACCATCCTCAACCCTTTAATGTGAGCTTGAGCAAAAGCCACATCACGGGGGTTGAGTTTGGGCTGTTCCTGCATTAACTCACATCTGTTTGGGCCAGGGGATGTTCAAGTGACAGGACAAGGAGCAATGGCCTCAAGCTGCCCCAGGGCAGGTTTAGCTGGAGCTGAGGAACAATTCCTTGCCCAGAGGGTGCTCAGGCATTGGAACAGGCTGCCCAGGGCAGGGCTGGAGTCACCGTCCCTGCAAGCGTTCACAGCCCGTGGAGCCGAGGCCTCAGTGCCAGGGGGTTAGTGGTGGCCTTGGCAGGGCTGGGAATGGTTGGGCTGGATGAGCTTGAAGGGCTTTTTCAACCTGAGTAAATCAATCTTCCAATTTCTAAAAGGGCTCCAGGAAACCTGGGGAAGGGCTTTGGACAAGGGATGTAGGGACAGGACAAGGGGAATGGCTTG